TATAATCTACTATTAAATGGGGCCAAGTTAGGTAGTGAAGTTAGAGTTACTCTTTTAGTTTTATTTATAGGACACTGTTAATATATTTTATACGAATAAAAAAAATCTTTGAACTGTATTATTTTTTTAAAAAATATAACAACTTTCCTATGTTCTCTATATTTAATATATACATTTTTAAAAAATAATTATCTACACTATAATAAGTAAAAAAATTAATTTACCAATTCTCATAATTTTACTCAATTTTAAATCAGGTCATAGATAAGAAGAGATGAGTATTAAATTTTAAGGTTAGTTAATTTTAAGATTTTATTGATTTCCAAGATGTTGAAAACCAGATTGGTTGATGAATCGGTCGAGACAATGGATCAATGATCAGTGGGTTAGAGAGAAGCCAACTCAGAGGAGTCAAACTAATAATAATTAAAATGATTTTAATTTAATTAAAATGCATTAATATTTATATTTTAACAATAAAATAATATTTAATTTCTATTGAAATACCATGTGAAATTTTCCTTCTTTTTTTTATTCTCTCTCCTCATGTTACTCACTGAATCTTCTCTTTCTATTTTTTTTACTTTTGCACATCCCTACTCTCTTCCTTTATGTCTCTCTCCAGCCCGTGATTGCTCTGTTTTCCCCACTTCAACACGCATGAGTGATCAGATGATAAGACTTGTTGGTAGCATCTACTCTTCCTTACTCCATGAATAGCATTGTATGAGTTCAGATCTGCATCTTCAGTGGCGAGTGGCGACCATTTTGCTTTGTAGTTTGTATGCGTATTGCCATTTTGCCCTCTAATCGCTACTGTGAATCTGTGACTGCCATCGTGCTAAGTGCCAGCTCATCCATAGTCATAATAGTGCCGATTGCATCTTCAGAGAAGATAACACCAAATGCACCCGCGTCTCACCCTCTCCAAAGATCTCACGGCAGTCGCCGTCGGAACTGTCAAGGGTAGGCTAAGATAACCACTCTCATCCCTCTTGTTTCCTATTAGCGAAACAAATCCTCTTCTTTATCACACTTGACACTGGGAAAGTATTCGACTTGAAAAAAGGGGAAGAATAAATTAAAGAAAAGGAAAAAAATTTAAAGAAAAGAAAAATTAAAGCAGGCATGCATGGGGCCGCAAGTAGCGTTTTTAAATGATGGCTTCCTAAACATGGGGATGGAGATTCCCAAATCCTTAATGAAATTTCCAGCAGCCATAATATTTAGAAATCCCCCACACACACGGACACTAGGCACACCCAAGGTTATAACTTGGTATTTTGTGAGGCTCAAACATGCTTTCTTCCATCTCACAATTTCAGAAGCTGATATGGGGCCAGTGGAACATCCGCATAATTATCCTCTTCAGTCTCTTCCTTCAGATCTTCCTCATCGTTTCTGCTCCCTACAGAAAACGCATCAGAGGAGGCTTCTTCATATTCTTTGTCTGGTTGGCTTATCTTCTCGCCGACTGGGCAGCTGGCTACTGCATTGGACTCATCTCCAACAATCAAGAGCAAAAAGCCACCACCCTCACACAAAATGATAACCTCATGGCATTTTGGGGTCCTTTCCTTCTCCTACACCTGGGTGGCCCTGACACCATCACTGCGTTTTCTCTGGAGGACAATGAGCTCTGGCTCAGGCACCTTCTCGGCCTCGTTTTCCAGTCAGTCACAACTGCTTATGTCTTCCTTCTGACGGTCCCTCGGAACCCATTATGGTTGCCGACGATATTGATGTTTGTTGCCGGATTAATCAAGTATGCTGAGAGAACTCACGCTCTGTACATCGCGGCCATCAATAATTTCAGGAAGTCCTTACTTCCAGAGCCGGATGCGGGGGCTAATTATGCAAAGCTCATGGAGGAGTACTCTTCTAGGGTGGCGGCCGAGCTTCCAGCCGAAATAATCATGATTCCGGAGCCTGGTGAGACGGGAAAAGATGGGAGCAGAAATCAGGAAACAGAGGGAGAGAAAAATGAAGGGTAAAATTGACTTGTATTACTGAGTTAACATCACTTATTAAAGCTCCCCTAAATAAATAGCAGATTAACAGATCTTATACTTTATCATTATTACAGTGTGTCAGCTCCTGTTGCGCCATCCAAAGATGGAAAGGAGATCGCGGCGATTGATATTTGCAAACTTGAGTTGGTGCAGAAAGCTTTCTCCTTCTTCCTCAAGTTTCAAGGTCTCGTCGTTGACATGATATACAGCATCAAAGACCGGCACGACAGCCGGAGATATTTTGAAAGCAAATCGGCAGAAGAGGCCCTCATACTCATAGAAGTTCAGCTCAATTTCATGTATGAAGCTTTCTACACCAAGGCCTCGGTGATTCGCCAATATTGGTTCTGGTTCTGGGGAAAATTTGTTTCCTTAATGTCCATTACGGCCACCCTCGTACTCTTCCTTAAGGCAGACAGGCATAGTTTCGACAAGTTGGATGTTAGGGTGACTTATGCGTTGCTGTTTGGCGCTCTGTTCCTGGATGTCATGGCTCTTTTCAAGCGTTTTTTCACTGATTACACTGCTACCCTCTCCGATGAATCTCTAATAGATTCCTACGCAGCTTCTCCTTACCAAAAATTCCGAATCAGAATCTTCAAGTGTCTCAATGGAATATTTTTGTCGCGGTTCCTCAAGTTGGGGAATCTAACTTGGCCAAAAATCCAGAAAGGCCCTTACCAAGGCTGTCACAGATTGTCCACCAAATTTTTAATGCGCAGATGGTCTGAATCAATCACGGGGTACAATCTGCTGAGTTACTGCGTGAACGAGTCAGTTCAGAGGGATCCTGATAATCTATGCCTCAAAATCTGGGCACATGCACAGGATTTATTCTATCAACGTGACAGACGTTCTAATGTTAAAGACCTCCTTGATCAATGGAGGTATGAATCCAAAAACCCGTTCGTGAAAGAGCTTTGGGAATACTTGTTCGAAAAGCTGAAAGAGAAATCAGCTGGTGCTCAAGATATAGAGGCCATCCAAAGAATATGTTCTGCTAGAGGTCAGCAGGTTGTCGAGAAGACCAAGTTAGAAACCCTGAAGCCCTTTGTGGATCCCAACGAAGTTGCTTTTGATCAAAGCCTTCTATTGTGGCACATTGCTACTACTCTCTGTTCCACCCAAGACGATAATAATGACAAGAAGGCTCTCTCTTCCACCGAAGACGCTAAAAATGAAGAGAAGGTTCGACGCAAGAGACAAATCAGCATGCTTGTCTCAGATTACATGCTATACCTTCTGGTTATGCAGCCCAACATGATGTCCGCTATAGCAGGAATGGGACAAAAGAGGTTCCAAGACACGTGTGAAGAGGCCAAAAGGTTCTTCAAGAGGAGGAGCATTCCAGCAGAACGGGATACGAAGGATATGCTGGAGGAAGCTCGCGAACTTCTGATGAAAGTGCCAACAGAACAAAAACCCATTGATGTGAAGGGGGATAGGAGCAAATCCCTCTTGTTTGACGCATGTCGTTTGGCCAAAGAGTTGAACAAGTTAAAAAAAAACGAGAAATGGGAAATCATAGCTAGTGTGTGGGTGGAATTGCTGTCGTATGCCGCGTGCCACTGCCGGCCTACGGGACACGTCCAGTTATTGAGTAAAGGTGGCGAGCTCATTTCCTTTGTTTGGCTCTTAATGGCTCAACTCGGTCTCAGCACTCAGTTTCAAAGCAAGGATGGCGACGCGAGGGTCAAACTCATAGCGGCTTACTCCCACAGTTAAATTGAGAGGAGAGGGTGATCCATCTATATATAATTGCCTGTGCTGATTTGGTTGGTTAAATTGGGAGGAGAGGGTTATCCTGAATATGTATGAAGACTAAAGTATTCTGGGGTTAAATAGTGGAAGTGTAAGTTGTAGGTAAGTGAATTCAGCTTGCATTAAACAATTATATAAAAATACTTATTCTTAAAATATTAAATCGAAGTCCTCAGCATTCAGACTACAAAAATTTACAGCTATCTATGGAAAAATTTAACACTCGGTGAGATCCATTACAGTACGTACTGTTATGCAACACGCGGCGGGCTAGGATTTCACTCTTACCTTTTACTGGGAAAGTTACCTGGCTTAGTGACAACAGCTTCATATCATGTCATTTCTTTATTTAATTATAAGATGTTTTCTTTTTTAATTTGCTGAGTTCTCTGTCTCTAGATCCAAAGAAGTTTTTTTTCCCCCTAATTATTTTGCTTTTATTGCGGAACATATTTTCATGATTGATTTAGGTAATGCACGTCGGGCATTTCTCCCTTTACATCTAATTACTTCGTTTCTGTGGCAGCAATATTTTCACAATTGTTATCAATAATAAACTAATTTCTATAAGGTCACCCAATATGTATAAAACTAGGAGACTTTAATTTCTAGTTCCATGCAAAAAAAGGGAATGAATAGTACTACAGGTTAATAAATTGTGCAAACTCCAAATTGATCTTGGGTATTATGTGAGAAGTCAACTTGTTTTTTTGCCAAAAGAGTAGTCTGTATTATAGGTCACTAAGTATGATGGTAATTACATTTTTACAAGGTTTCTCTTATTTAAAGTTTGATACAATTTTTTTTACAAGACAATTTCACTAACAAGACAATTCTGTTCGACGTTCGAAACAATATTGTGTACTAAATGTGAATCTCTTTTTAAAATTTGAATATTGATTGGTCATGTTATTACTAAATCCAACCTCTATTGATTCTATCAAATATAGATGATTTTTTTTAAAAAAATTGAGGATGAATTTTATTTCCAACGTACCATATAAAAAGGTTTCAAGTAATATTATATTATTCATATTCCTATTCCCCTTTCGATGTCTCTCTATTCCCTCATTATTCATTCAACATCATACCAGCCACGTATTGCCATAGTAGAAGGAGACCGGTAAAACACACGTACTCTCTAGTTAAGAATGTTGATTCCCTCACACACACAGAGCAACTACTGCCCCCCCCCCCCCCCAAAACAAAAACAAAAAAAACACGTATTCATCGTTCTTCTTCGATCTCTTTTTTGTTTTCTTCATATGATTTCCTGTGCACGCCTTCATGCAATTCCATCTCTGCTTCTGCTTCCTTAATCCCGAACTTGCCCTTTTCATTTCCCAGTAACGAGTAAGACAGTAAAAGCGGATGAAGCAAACAAAAGAAATATTTCAAATCTAACACCTTAATTTAATTTAGAGAAATTTAAATTTTTTCACATTATTATGACATGTAATCTCACAAGTCATATATATGATATATCACTACTTTTAAGCTAGAAGCGTTTTTAAAAGTAGCTTTTGACTCAATTAATTTTCCTTTGAAGTTGAATAACACGTTCAATTTAAGATCAAATACGTAAACCATATTTAATCGTACAGAGCATTTTCATAGCTCAGAAAATGCTTTTTTAAGAGATAAAAGTTCAGCAGCGTACCTGTGACGAGCTTTTTTCAGCTTCGTCTGCATAACATTTGAGGCTGTCGGTTTCAATTAGTCTGGCAATACCAGTTTTCCAGACCTCCCTTCTAAGTTTATCTATCAGACAAAACCATCCAGAAAAAGAATCAGAATTCACTGTGATATGAATTATACTACTACTCCGGTCCTAAATATAAAACCCTTATACTTAGGACTGGAGAAGTATATACTATGATTAATCAACCAGAACTAAAAATGATGACATTAGAATATTTTAATGACGTAATAAGTACCATGATTTCTGTGCAAGTGTTCTATTGTCTCGTTCAGGTTTTGTAGCCAGCATTTCTTAATATGTGTCACATAAACTTGTTTCAATTTTGGAGTTCTGAGAGGCTGCTTCACAAACGTGCTCATTTTTGGAACATCCTCCACTCTAACCATCTTTAACTCTGGCAATTCACCAAAATCAACATCATCTTCACAGAAACTGGTGAGTGTTGGCATATGTTTAAGCACAAGTGTCTCCAACTTCTGGAACACTCGTTTACTATTTGCTCCTCCACCTCCAAGAACTTGAACCATATTTTCACATTCATATAATGATAGCAATCTCAGACGTGAAAGGTGTTCGGCCACCGGAATGGAAAATAATTTTTCCATGATTCCACAACGCATGATTTTAAGATCGGCCAGACTTTGGAACACTGGAAACTTAGGTTCCTGCTTCCACAGCTGCTTATTGGGTAAATTAGCCAACTCCAGTAATTCTAACATTTTCATTTTACCCTCTTCCTTTACGTCGTCAAATAACACACGTGCTAAACTCCTCTGCAACAGAATATATATTTAAGTCATAAATTTAACGCTGCATATTTAAACGTTGGGACGATCATCAACGAAGAGATCACATGAAATATCTTTGAAAAACAGATTTACTACCTTGTCCAGTGAGTGATCTGCTGCTGCTTTACGAGAAATGCTCCCTGACGATGTCCCAACCTCAGGACAGTTGATTATTCTCAGTTTTTTGAGTGATGGAAATTCAGGCGTCTCCGAGGACGAGAATGAAAGCTTCGGTAGATTTTCAAGAACAATAGATTCTAAAGGACTCGAAGTTTTCTCGTCCCTTTTTCCTCCTTCTACACGGTCAGTGGCAATCTGTTCCAAAATGTTACAGTCAGAAATCTCAACATCTTTTAGATTCACGCATTTTGTGGGCAGTTCCAGGCGTCCAAGAGAACTGCAATTCCTTACAACCAGTTTATTCAACTTGTTTGACCCTGCAATCCTCATATAGCTCAATTTGCCCAAAGAAACCACTTCCAGGCTCGACAATTCCGGGCCTTCCAGCATCAACCTCTCCAATTTAGGGCATGCGTGCTGCAGAAAAGAGCTTCAAGATATTATTTGAGCCACAGAAAATTTCACATTAATAAATTATAATGCCTCATGAATACTTAACTTTGTGACGATGTTCAAATTAGAGGACTGAACAAGATTTATTATTGTACGTACCATCATCTCTTTCTGCGGCACACCACTAGATGTCCCTTCAATGGTTGGCTTCTGGTTGCTTAAAAGTTCGGTAGTAAATTCAGTCAATTTGGGACACCTTTTTATCGTCAATCTCAGTAGATTAGGAAATCTGACATTGCAATTCGCTGAGCTGAACTTGGTCAACTCTGGGAGGTCTGCAAGAGAAAGATCCTCTAAACTATGAAATGATCTCTCCTGCCTTTCCTCGTTGTCCTGTACGACGTGTTCCAGCGTCTTACATGACTCTATATTCAATTCCTTAGGAAGAACAAGTTTTTCCAGCAAAACAATCGAAAGCGGACCCCTGTTCCATATGCATTTCAAATTAGGTAACGAAAACAATCGCATTGTCTGCAAATTTGGGAATTTCAGATTTCCTTCTTCAGCAGCAATTCCTGTGAGATCGAAAACCTGTTCCAGCAGGTCGCACCGTTCCACTGTCAGTCGCTCAAGCTTACTCGACCGGCGAAGCAAAATGGACAAAAATTTGTTCAACTCATTGTCGCAATGGAAGGCCTCTACAGTTTTCAGTTGCCTGAAAGATGAATCATGAAGCTCCATTTTCATATATTTCTGCAACTCCTTGGAGTCATCGATCCTTAAATTTTCAAGTTTGGAGATTTCATCCTGTAAAATAATGATGCCAGAGTCAGTAGTATTAAGTGAGGAACAGTATTGAAAACCTTTGTTCCTGTGTGCTTTGTGTGTGTGGGTTATATTCTTAAAAACTGTTCTCTTAGTATAAAAATGAAATTCTATCCTCAAGCTTCGTTATATTTTCATTTCCATTTCCATTCAAATGATGTGAGAAGAACCAAGGAAGAGAGTACTCACAGTTAACTCAAAGAGATGACCGATGTTGCTCTCAAGATCTTCAAGAGCCCATGGCTGGCAGTTTTTCACAGTGACTTTCTTCAAAAGAGATCTGTCCACCTTTCCCAACATTGACTTGCCAATGTTGGGACAGGAAGAAACTTCCACCGTATCCAACTCAAGCCATTTAACACCACGAACACCATCCCTGCTGGAGGACGACCCAGTAAATTTTGGCAACTCGTCCAGAATTAGGGTTTTCACACGAGGGAACACAACAGGATTTGCACTCGTTGTTCTTTCTTTTGTTTCTCTTTTCCCAGTATGCTCTTTGATGGAGGAAATCCTTTGGGCCATTGATAATGAAAAACTGAGAGAAAAAATGGAAATAGAAAAGGGGAAATGAGACAAGCACAGAGAGACGAAGTTATATAAAAGAAGCTAACCATTACAATGAAAAGAATATCCCTGGACAGTCATACCTCTTTCCACTATTTAGGCCCACCTTAGTTGCATTTTGCATAAAGTTTTCTATGGAAATACACCCCGCTTACCAAACAAAAAAAAAGGCTAGAGAATTATTGAAGTATACATTTGCACTTTAAATTTGTGAATATTTGATTCATTTGATTTGATTCCCATATTATTATTGAGGAACAAGTTATAATGCATTTCATATAATTTTTTTTTTGCCAATATAACGTTTTAAAGTAATTCTTACGTAAGAGTCAAGTGAGAATTAATAAATCGCATAATACTTTTCCTTCCAAAAATCAAATTAGACTCCCACTTCCCCTGTAAAATTTTCAAATAATGATTTTTATTTCTAATGAAGTCACTCCATTTCATTCTATCTTAAACTCTAGTAACCTAGAATTTGAAGCACTTTCATTCTATTTATAAAGCAAATTATTATTAACTATGAAATAATATACTACCTAATGTAATATATATAATCCATTATCCATACACACACACAAGGCAAACAGTACTTGATTATTAATTAACGAGAAAAAGAATAAGATGGCAAACAAAAGACTAAAAAATAAATAAAAGTAATTATATTGTTAATAGATTAATAATTTTAATTATTACCCAATATACTAATGTGAAATATTTAATTACAAGTGTGTTTCAAGAGAGCAAACAGTACTTGACAATCATCCATTTCATCAGTCATTCATATAAATGACACAGAACACAAAAAGTTGAATCAAGATTCGTGGTTGAATTTCTCCTTAACAAAGTTCCATTTTTGAGAGTCAAAAGAGGAAATAAGAAGGGGGGGGGTTAAAGACAGAGTGACACAAATTTCCAGTGAATGCAAAAAGTTTCTAACAAGGAGGAAGAATTTACCCTTATCACTATATGATTATCACCAAAGTGATCTTCTCGTCTCTGATGAAGCAAGCCGGAGACACCAGCAAAACACAGCAATAGCAGAAGACTTTAATTTGTATAATGCAGCGGAGAATTAAGAAAATAAACCAAACAGGGTTGATTGATGAACAGAGAAGAACAGAGGAGTACTTAGGGAATGAGAAAATCGATATATTTGATTGATTTGGCGTGGCAGTTGAAGGAAAAGGAAGCTTGAAGTCGAAAACTTTCCTAGTGTCAAGTGTGGTAAAGAAGAGGATTTGTTTCGCTAATAGAGGACAAGAGGGATGAGAGTGGTTATGTTAGCCTACCCTTGACAGTTCCGACGGCGACTGCCGTGAGATATCTAGAGAGGGTGAGACGCGGGTGCATTTGGTGTTATCTTCTCTGAAGACGCAATCGGCACTATCATGGCTATGGATGAGCTGGTACTTAGCATGATGGTAGTCACAGACTCGCAGTAGCGATTGGAGAGCAAAATGGCAATACGCATACAAACTACGGAGCAAAATGGTCGCCATTGAAAATGCAGATCTGAACGCATACAATGTTGCTCATGGAGTAAGGAAGAGTAGAAGCTGCCAACAAGTCTTGTCATCTGATCACTCATGCTTGTTGAAGTGGGCAAAAGAGAGCATTCACGGGTTGGAGAGAGACATAAAAGGAAGAAAGTAGGGATGGGAAAAAGTAAAAAAAGAGAAAAAGAGAATCTAGTGACTAGTGAGTGACGTGAGGAGAGAGACTGAAAAAAAAAAGAACAAAAAGTGAGAGAGAGAAAAATTTCACATGCTATTTTAATAAAAATTAAATATTATCTCTGATCTTTAATATAAGATCCTGTTTGACTTTTAATTTGATTCTAAATAAAAAATTCCAATCCACTTTGTCTCTTATATTTATATATTTTTTTCCAAAGTAGCCCTTCTAACAATAATAGTTCTAATCAATACACTTGATTAGTAAAGATATTTTAAGAAAGACAACATCTATTTAGGATAAATAACTAACTCAACTTACTTCCTTAATTTCCTCAAATTAGTCAACTAGCTCTTATAATTAGGATCGAAGGTAGTATTATTTTTATTATAAAAATATAAATATTTATACATTTTAATTAAATCAAATTTATTTTAATTATTACTGGTTTGATTGCGAGTTGACCTGGATCTAACTAAATCTAGGAAAACGGGCTGGCCCAACCCTTCAGGGCCAACAAGCTTAAAAAGGCCAGTCCTACAGGGCCGAAATTTCAAAAATACTCTAATTTGCTAGGTTTGGTCCTTAAGTAGCCGAGCTCAGGGTTGGCCCGTGAGCTTTTGATCCGTTTAAAAAAAATTATTGTTAATATTTTTCATTTTTTTTCAAAAAAGAAAAATAAATCAATGAAATAAATTATTAGTAAAAGACATAAATATGAATAAAATTAAGGCATAAATATAAAAAATCATTATATCTAAATGACCATCAACATACAAAAAATCTAAAACATCCATTAGACATAACAAGTTAATGATATTAACATCTAAAAATTCCATTAAAAATAGACAAACATTTTTACTAAAAGAAAATGGACAAACACTATCATCATTATCATTAATTGTAAGAATATTTGATTGCATTTCGCTAGTAATAGGCTCTTCTTAACTTCTAAAAATATTAATGACTTCTCAAGTTTTAATTGTGAAAATTACTTTGCCACACAATTTTGTAGGAAGTCTAAAATATTTTAACATTTTGGATTATCTATAGTATACTTTTAATGAGCTAACTGCGTCATCTTTTTTTTTTCTTCTTTTGTTTAGGATGGTCATTTTTTATTTTGTCTAGTTTGTTTATCTAACTCTATTTAAATATACAATAAAAATTATGATATAATTACTATAGAAAAAGTATTAACTTATTTATTAAAATTTTATCACATATATACAAATTGATACGTATCTATTAGTTCAATCATTGAAATTTTTGTTTTAATATGGAGAATATATTTTGTTTATTTTAATATATAACTATTGGTTCAAACAAATATAAATTTAAAATTTGATTTAGGATATGGAGAATGTACTTTTATTTATTTTAATATCATTAGAGATTAAGGTGTGAGTTGAGAGTAAGTAAAAAACTGAAAATGAAACTTAGAGAGATGAGGTGTGTAAAATGTTAGAAATTTAGATTAAGGTCAAGAAAAAAATATAAATTAAAAAAAACTATTGTTGCCATGCTTAAATGAGCCGGCTCTTTTATTTTCGAACCCCACAGGACTGGCTTTTTTAAGTCCAAATTTCCTTTGAAGACCTTAAATTACAAGCCCGACCCTCAACTTAAATAGGTCTAAACGGACCGACCTGATAGGCTCGGCCCATTTTCTCAACTCTAGGTCTAACCTACTAACTCTTGACCCACTGTCTTGACCGGTTCATCTACTATCTGATTTTCAATACCTTGGTTTAAACTTGACATTAATATGTTTGTGTGCATACATCTTTATAAATTGTATTGAATTTAAAAAAATGACCATATTATTATTATTATTATTATTATTATTATTATTATCATCACAATATTACATATGTATAAGATGTGAGGTTTTATTTGAGTACTATCAGATCTAACCAAAGTTTATTGTATCTTCTTTATTGAAAAAATTCAAATTATATTAAAATTGTAGCTGTGAAACTCTTAATTCATTATTACTTTGCTAAAATTCATTTAGTATTACATTGTGATTTTAGAGATGCAGCAGTAATCAGGAAATGATATACTTTAAGTGAGTATTATACATGCAAAAAAGTATTTTGGTTTTATCACTAATTTTACTTAAAATTTCATCTTGATCTCACAATAATTTGCAATTTAATCTATAATTAAAAATTTTAAATATCTTTTAATTAATTCATTAAGAATACTATGTGGTAAATAAATATCAGTGTGCAGCAAGAGTATGTACGAATCAAACTTTTAACTCAACAATATATGTTTGCCCCCTAATTAAATCCAAACTTTCACCAAATTATTGTTCTTAATTTCTCATTTTATTTTTTTTAATAAAATTTTCTCCTTGTCTGGGCCAGTATAACCTCCCCCTTTGGTACTAGCATATTTATAGGGAAGAAAGAATCTCACGATTTGAACTTTGAATGACGAGCCTCTAGTAAGACTGTAAGAGAATTCTTGCTTGCTTAGCCTGTAGAGATTTCAAAGCAAAAATACCAAATTTCATTGCCAAGCCAACTAACGATTCTTTACTATTGCTTGGCACCAATTTTGCCCTCTTTTTTTTTTTTTTGCCTCCTCTTTAACTTTAATTTCACTTTATTCTTAAACAACAACTTTAATTTACTCTTCAGCCAAATCACTCCCTCCCCCTTTTTTTTGTCTTACGCTCTGAACATGTCGATGCCCACAAATCCAACCACAGACATGCAAGAAGTGCGGCATCAGCTCGAGATGTTTAGGAAGACGTTCGACGAAACCTTTGAAGATGTTTCATCGGCCAAAAATGTCATCAAGACGGTGATCGACCGCACGATGAGTCAATTCCCACTTTCCAAACAGGGGGAACTCAAACTAGGCAACCAATTCTTGGAGTTAGCTGATCGCTGCGCCAAAATTGAATCCTCTGGTTTCTGTTCTATCCTTGGCGAGCTCGCTCAATTAAACGAAAAGCTGCACCAACTTGCCGCTTATGATGAGGCCGCTCAGGACTATTCCACCCAAGCTTTATCTGAAACGGAACTGGCAATTATAAACAAAGCAGACGAGGATCCACCCATGAAATGTCTTTGTGAGAGTTATGAATTCTTCCTTCGTCTTGATGAGCTTAAGCATAACCGGGGAATTTGCTTGTCTCTAGCAGTTTTCCCTAATAATGCTGTTCTCAGGAAAAGGCTTCTTATTTATTGGTGGATTGGGGAAGGGTTGGTCCGGCACGAGGAAGAAGGCGAAAGAGTATTCCAAGAGCTTTTGGATTTAGAATTCCTTATACCCCATGACAAGTGCCCAAGAGTGAGCAAATGTCGAATTTTCCCTTGGTTTCGTTACATGTTGATCTCAGTTGCCCTGAGAGAGAAACTTTTGAAATTAGATCAGGGCAAGATACCACGTTTTGATCCTGCCCATTCTCAGCGTACTTGTTTGATCGATGATCGCTTTAATTCGGAAATTGAAACAGAATCCACACCGGAGACTTGGAGGACCATTTTTAATGTAAACGGGAGAGATCTTCATTTTCGACACCAGTGGCTTGCTACACTGAAGACATTGGCGGTGCTTCAACTTGGTCGTTGGCAGGTTTCTCCCACCTATCACATTGAAGTTCGAGATGAATCGTTCCTAAAAGGTTTGAAGACCCAGAAACTGCTCAAGTATCTCAGCCTGCGTGGGATTTCAAGAATAACTTCACTTCCAGACTCCATTAGAGAACTGGCCAGCCTTGAAATCCTAGACCTCAAGGCCTGTCACAATCTAGAAACCTTGCCTGCTGTCATTGCATCACTAAAAAAGCTCACACATTTGGATGTATCAGAATGTTACCTACTGGAGAGCTTGCCAAAGGGTCTCGACAAGCTCACTTCGTTGCAAGTACTCAAGGGATTCATAATAGGAAGTTCACAGAAGACTCCCATCAGAATATGGCATCTTCGAAGCCTGAAGAATCTCAAGCGATTAAGTATACATATAGGGAGTGAGGCTAACATCCAGGGAGAGGAATTCGAGAAGTTGAAGGATTTAGAAAAGGTAAAGTGCCTGAAAATATCTTGGGGTAAAACAGATGCTGAAAAGTCTGTGTCTTTTCCGCCTTGGCTACAAAAGCTGGATCTTGAAGGCATTCCTCATGACAGGAAGCCAGAATGGCTAAAGCCCAGCAAACTGATGAATCTGGAGACGCTACACATCAAGGGAGGAAGGCTCAGGAATTTATTAGATGAGGAAGGGCGGTGGGAAAATGTGAAATATTTGGTGCTCAAGTACACTAAGATGCCGCCGGTTAATCAGGAAACTCTGAGGTCAAGGTTTCCTTCACTCCAATACGTGAAGAAGGTTGAGTGGGCAGAGAATGTAACACAAGAAGTTGTCGAGTATGAATGGAACAAGGTTGGGGCTGTGACAGATTGAGTTTCAAATCAATTTCCACTTCCAAATTGTGAAATAAAAGAACATTTGTTGCAAATAATTGCTTTGGGACTTGAATATCATTTTTCTCGAGATATCCATGGAGTGAAGCCCCAAACAACACGTGAATAATAGTTAATTTAATATTTAATTTTGTTCTAAATACAAAATTTTAATTTATTTTGTTTTTCATATTTGTCTATTTTTTTAAAAAAAATCTTTGTAATAATTATATATTTTAAAGGTTTCATTAAATGATAGTTCTAATTAATACACATGATTAGCAAGAGTATTTTTAGAAAAAATATACTTATTTATTATAAATAATTAATTTAACTAATTTTATTAATTTATTCAAATTAGTTAACTAACGTTTATGTCAAAAACTTGGAGGTAGTATTATGAAAGTTTTTGGTCCTTCTCGACAAAAACAAATAATGTATGAAATTAAACCGTCGAAGTGAAGTTGACTAGTTTCTAAACGATTGTACCCTTATAGAAATTTTTTAATGTAGTGAGTAATAGCTTTGGTTATTCATTCTTCAAGAATTTTTGTTTAAATGATTCATACCATTTATATATAATATTTTGATATAAGTCTTTCATATTTTCGCAATAGCATATTGTTCCATAAAGTTAAGGTCAACAATATGGAACTCGTATCTGCAATTTTCAGGTTGAAAAAAAAAAAAAGGTATCTGCAATTTTGCTTAAATGCTAAATAGTTAGTGCAACTTGTAAATCTTTTAGACCCCAGTGTTAAAATACTTGAAGTATAGGCTGTAAATATTTGTAATTACACCACTTGATATTTTCGATTGCTCAGTATTCCTCCTACGATAGTGTAATGGCAAAATTATCTTTTGACCTAGAGATTATAATGCTTCCCATGCCATGCGTAAGGGAATCATGAAATAAAATTTGCTTAATATTTTAATTTTAAAATAGAGTATAAAACTTTTTATTTGAATTTATTTTTCATGGTATTACTTGAAAAAATGAGTTAAAATTAAATAAGAAAATTATTGTTGTTATAAATGTCAAGCGTCTTCTCTCATCTCCTTCTCTCCTCCCCTACAACAGGGATAAAATATTACCTCTTCACTTTTCTCCACCCTCTCCAGTTTCTCTTCCCCTAATTTTTACTCCCCTTAAGCACGACTCATGTTTGAAATTCAAGAATTTTCTTTGATGTTAATCTGATAATTCATTGCCTTACATCACATAGAAATTAAAAATCTTAACAACGTGCATCAGTAAAAAGCTTTAAATCTCCGTGGATATTCAAGATGATGATACAAGCGAGATCCCCTTAATGATTGTACAGACCCATTTTAAGATTCGTCAATCGAATTGGATGTAACCACTCCACGCGATTTTGACTGCCTACGACAAAATTTTGGTACGAATCACGTTATAGAAGGATGCGTGCATATATTACAAGTTGCAACCGACAGCATTTATATCCAGTGGATCTTTTGTCTACAGCTCTATATAAACATTCTCAACCTGAACTACCAGCAGCCGAAATTTCCAAAACTACTGAATAAGGAATGAAACAGTACAGTTCTCGGGGGAGCCTTGATCAGACTTACTCTAGCAGGCTGGTAAATCCAATCTACTATTTGTGAATTACCTTCTTCTCAGTGTATGCTTCACTTCGCACTCGTGTTTATTTTCTCCATACGCACCTTTTAGGCTATCCTGCATGTTGATTCACACAAGACTAATGGCTGGTTGCTAGAGCAGTAACCAGGAGACCAAGGACAAGGAATGGCTGTGCGCTAGCCTGAAAACGTAATTGAAAGCACTTCAATCATGTGCGTTAAAAATATGGAGGCAGTTGAAAGAGAGAGAGACAGCAACGAAAAATGGAAGAAATGAACTACATCTAATATTTACTTTTCTTATCCAGACAGAGAGAATATATATTAGCAAGGAAGTATTGTATACATGAATATATGCGTGTGTACACTTGCCTGGAAAAAGAGAAAACTTGAACAGAAAGCATGTCAATAAAATCAATATTAAGATCTTGTTTTTCTCCTTTTGAGCAGACAATATCAAGGATCCTATAGTTATTCATTTATCGTTATTTAACAAAAAATGGAAGGGTAGGTAAATTTGAAGACCAACAATGGCTTCAGGTTTCACAATTCATTTCCTCAACAAAAAAGTCGGCAGGATTCTCTACGATTTTGTTTATTGAAGGAACGCCACATTCTATAGCTGAAACTGCAAGCCTAGTTCTTAGAAGTGCAATAGTGAATATGTACCTGATATTTAACATCATACTTTACAGGGTCTTTGAGGAAGTACTGAAACTGCAAGACATAAGAACCAACAAGATGCCAACATAAATTTGGCTGAATAGGACAACATAATTCTTCAGCTATCTTACATTATTATAGACAATTTTCTTTTCTCAATCCACAGCGGATATTTAAAATAATACTTCTGGTCCTTAATATAAAAGCTAATTGGCTAATTTGAGTAAATTAAGAAAATATGTTAAGTTAGTTATTATAAAATTAGTTATTATAATAAATATGTATTGTTTTTCTCAGAATACTCTTGATAATCATGTGTATTAGTTAGAACTACTATTTAATAGAATCTTTAACATGTATAATTATTACAAGGACTACTTTGAAAAAAATAGATAAATATGAGAGACAAAATAGATTGGGTCTTATATTTAGAACCAAATTAAAAGTCAAACCAGCTCTTATATTAAAAACCAATGGTAGTATAAATTATGCGAAGAAAACCCTTTTAAGGGAATTTTCAAGACAAGTGAGTTTTGAAGTACTCAGCAAAGTGGCCAAGTGTACCACGCCCCACCTAAGGAAAGAGGAATGCTTTCACTTTGGTTATGCTTTACCTGAAAAATGACCTGCGGAGCTATCAAGGCAAGTAAAGCCAATGCGTAGTATGGTTTACCTGCTCCAAGAAGATATCCTGCAACAGTAAATGCGAATAAACTCCTTGCATAAAAAACGAACGGACTTTCTATTCCGGTTCATCAGTCTTGATCAACTTGAAAACGACATTTTACCAAAACTTAAAATCAGCATGTCATGTTTGGGACACCCCCCCACCCAAAAAAAAAAAAAAACCCAACTCAGTAGATCTGGATCATCTCAAACGCAAACTGAGACAGAGAAAAGGTGGGCAATGTGCCAGTGTGACCGAGTATTTGGCTGTCCTCTCGTCACCATTTCAAGAAAACACTCCAATCTTGTAATAAAATTTCAGCAGAGGATGAACCCCGCCTGGTGCCCGGGGGAGTACACCAGTATATTTATGATAGATAATGCAGTAACGGCCTTGAATCAAGTCTCCAATTTTCATGTTAAACAAAATATTGTATGGCACAAAAGAACAGTATAGTCGTTTCGAAGAAAATATTAAAGAATAAACCATAAAACTATATGTAGGGGAATGAAATGTACCGGCAACAGATATCTGCGTAATGTCAATGGCACCAACACATATCCATTTAGCAGCTTCAGGACCAAATGCAACTGGAAGCGACTGTTGGAGAAATAGAAATATCAGGCGGCAGCAATTACTCCAGTTAATGTGTAAGATCAGAAATTCTAGAACCATAAAGATTAGCAATTACAAAAATCAAAAGATAGGACAATAGAACAACCTGAAGTCCTAGAGCTCTATCCCCTTCAACACTTTTGAAGTCGTTGACAATGGCAATTCCCAACTGACAAATACAAGGTAACAATATTACAGACCTTTTTGAGAAAACTTAAACATGAGATAGATACTAGATATAAGAAGCTTCTGAGTTACGCCAACTACATACTCCAGCTATGCTGTATAGCAGCGTGAGAACAACGATATCAGGTGTAAGAGTTCCAAACAAAGCCTGACCAGCCCACCTATCATTAGGAACTTGGTTACAAAACTTTAGAAACATGGTACAAGTCCACGTAGTAGACTTTGGATTCAAATTAGACAAAAAGATCAGGTTCCGAATTATTTTGGGTGAATAAAATGTCCCTCAGTTTTACCCAGTTGATTTCTCACAATAAATGCAGGCACGAAAAATAACTTTCTAGTTCTTTAAGCAGATATTAAGTATTGACACAAGAATCCCGTCTATATTCTTGTATGCATCATACAGAGGGAAGTTAGCTACTATGCATAAGGAGCAACTCCCCTGACTAAGAAAATGGATGAATATCGAAGGGAAAACTCATGAATGAAGTTAGAAATGCATATTGATAACCAGCAGAGTACATAAAATGCTACTGCAAAAGAATACAGCACCATGGTAAACTGATGTAACTTGCTCCAAGAGCAAAGTTTCCAATCCATCCATTTTGCTTTAGCTACATGTAGAGAAATGAAAATTTTCGTCAAATGTAAAAAATAAAAAAGGGAATTTCCTGCAGCAGTGTGAAGTAGGATGGTTTCATAGAGAAACAAACTTACTTTTTTTAACCTGGAGAAACAAACTTTGAGAGAAATAATAGTGGTAGAAATAATGAAAATGTTTGAAATATAAGAATGAAGTACCTTCAAAGGAGGAGCAGAGTATACATATGACAGCAATGATCCACCAAGAGCAAGGTAAAAAACTACAGGGAAATCATGCCCTGCCTATAAGAACAAGCATTGAAAAACCAAGATTCATTACATTTTGCAGGTGGAAAAGAAATGAAAGATGAAACTGAAATGTAGAATACAAACCCATATGTCCAACAAGCCAGCCAAGCTAAGGCCTCCTAATAACAGCACCCATATTTGTGTGATAACCTGAAGAATTTTAGGCAATGAGAATCTGAAAAAATCCAACAAGAAAGCATGCGTGAATCCCAGCTAGATAATCAACATACCTCATTCTCAGATATTGCCCCTGAAGGAATTGGTCGATAAGGTTCATTGATTGCATCAATTTCTCGATCATACCAATCATTCAGAGTCTAGCAAATTAAAAAAAGAAGAAAAATCAAGCTCATGTTAGTTTGGCACTCATCCAACAAGGATCAGCAAAACTTATCTTTCTCTAGAATAGTACCTGTGTATATCCTGTAAGGAAGGGTCCAGACATCATCATGCACACAACTGATTTGGCAATATCCTCAAAATTCCAGTGGAAATTTCCTGTCATGTTAACAGATTGCTTCAGAACACTGACTACTTAAAGTTGTGCAGATACACTGCATCTGTGAAGTCAGCGACTAGAGCACAAAATTGAGAACATGGAATAAAACCAAGGCTCAAAAAGAACTAAAAGAAATACCAGAAGCAGCAGCACCACAAACCACACCCCAAACCAATGGAGGCCAAGTAACAGGCTTTGTTAGTTGAAGACGAATCTTCCATTTATTCTGCAAAAAATTATTACACAACAAATTGTGAGCACACGTTTTCTGGATGGTGCAAAATCAAAAGACGAGAGATGCCAGGAGGTGACAGAGAACTGAGTAACTAGAAACAATGATCGTACTTGATTTGTTTGTCTCAGAATGTTAAATTGCATTAATAACAAAACTGCTTAAAACAACATTGCCAAAAATGTTCTGCATTTCAAAACAAAAGCATACTTGATCAACATATCACTTATGTCAGCCGCATAATCTAGCCAAAGTGTTTAAAGTCTTATCTCCAGATTTAAAAAAACAAAAAGAAAAAAAAAATGCACCAATAACAGCATGGGAGCTATATGAACCAGCATATGTCCATAAAACATCCAGATCAATCTATTTGCAAAGTGACACGCGGTTTGCCGTATTAGAACCAATAAAGTAACACCACAGCGCAATTCTTCAGTCAGACTCATTTGTCCTCATATAATCTAGCTTGCAGTATAAAATGCACAGGGAAGTGCTATTTGGGGATGGATTTAATGTCAACGGAGAGTAGCAAATCTTGGTCTCCGAGGGAGAAAATAATACCAAGCCTCAGCGTTAGTACAAATTTCTCCTCAGTCACGTAAACAAGTGGGGTGAAAATGAAGTGAAGATTCGAAAATTACATATCGTTTCTCATATGATTTAATTGACATTATTATCTTGGTGGGACAGCAGTAAAGAATAAAAGACTACAAACTCACTTCTCATTATCTAAGAACACTGATTTTGGTGTAATTCTGATGAACCATTCTCCTCATTTTCATATCTTCCATATTTCTGTTGTTTTTCTAATAAGCGACATAACTCACCATCACCTCTTAATTTTCGTTCCTCTCAAAATCAGTCATTTCTTCTAACAGACCAAGGTACAGTCAAGTAGTTTAAATACAAATTTTTCCTGCGTAAAACTTAGATATTGCCATTACTACTACAATAGCACAAATCTTATTATAACGAATCCGTCTACTCATAATAAATTCCCCGAAATAAAAATAATAGCTTTCACATCATCGAGCTACAGACATGGAAGAAGATTAGAAAAAATGGACTCACTGTTTCTTGTGAAGCTCCTTTAATACCAAGAAGTTGATTGAAGCTCGAGCCATTTTTAGCCTGCGCCTTATCTGGTGCTTGAGATTTAACTACTCATACCAACCAAAAGATTGAAAATTACTTGAATTCCAAAACTACTACAACTGAAAAAAACAAGAAAGCTTAATTCACCTTCGTTTGTCTCAGTTTCTGCTGCTCTAATCTGTAATCTTCTCGCTGCAATGATAAGAAACCTATTATCAGACCCAATAAAACAACACAGAGCGAAAGCTCAAAGGCAAGAACTCCTGGTGGCGTTTCATCGCTGAATAAGTTGACAAAACCATAATCAACACATTTGATAGCAGAATACAAAAGGGGGGCACAGAGAGGTGTTTCTAGCATCCAATAGCTAACTCAAACAGCAATCCAAGGAGCTCCACGGAGTCAACCTACTTGTGAATGAGAAGGAACGTGGGGCGAGAAATGGTCGTGCTTGGACATTAGGGGTCCTGGTGCGTGACAAAGTTCTGGGCGATACCGAAACCATATTGGGTAAAGAAGCCATTGAAGATATGATGCGCAAGTGGAACTCCAGTGACCAAGAAGAGACGGAAAAACACACGGGTCGGCCTCGTTTGGCGGAGAGACAAATGGTATTGGCTATTATTTGGCGTAGTGACAGACTTCTTTCGGGTAAAAAAATATTTCTCGTCACGTTGCGGAGGAGATTCTATAATCTGTATCATGGTGTCCACGAGTTCATATGTTTTTTATCCATGTGGAGCCGTGCGATTGCTAATGGCTTTTGTTTTGAACAATGGTTATTACTTTTGGAGCCGCTCGATTTCCTATTTCGGATTCAGATGCAACGGGGATATCTGGCAAAGGAATAGAGTGCTGATGAGAGAATTCCCCCCTCCAGTGCATAAAATGTTCATAGAAATTCAAAAAAAAAAAAAAAAAATACCGTGTGTTAATTGTCAAAAGGCCAAGAAAGATATTTACGTGTTAAAGAAGTATCGATTGACTGTCTTCAACTCCAATGGAAAATACATGAATATGCCTAGTAAAAAATTACCATGTATTTGGCAGATAAAGCATGAGCAAATAATTTTTTAAAAAATATTACCTTCAATCTTAAATATAAAAACTAGTTGGTGGTTCTAAATATAAGAATTTTGTCTTTCAAATTTATAATATGTTATCAAAAATATCCCTATTGATTGTAAAATATTTTTCATTTAAGTGTAATTCTAATATACATAATTAAATAAAGATAATTTAAAAAAAATCAATATATATTTATTATATATAAATAACTTAATTAATTTTTTAAATATTTTTAAATTAGTTATCTAGTTCATATAATTAAGGACGGGGTAATATAATCGAAAAGAGGGCCCAAGCTTGTGGAGCATTGTGGGCCGGGAAAATGATGGCTCATTGTTGGATTTTGGGCATTAGATTTATAAGGCTTACGTGTTCCTTGATATCAGCCCAAATATTGAGAAATGATTGATTGTACGGCTGGCCCCATTAGTGTGTTGTTTTAACCTTTTCTCTTTTGGTTCTGGCCCCAAAAAAAGGTTTTCTTTTTTGTAATGTAATCAACATTTTATGTATTTTATATTCCGATGAATTCTTAATTCCTCTTTGATGCATTTCACCAACGAAACTTTTGTTTTTCAAGAAAGAATGCAAAGAATGTCGTCTATGGGACATCTAGTTTTTTATACAATTTTTTTAAAAAAAAAATTGATGGCTAGGCTTCGCAATTTAAATGTGGTTATATTTATTTATCGGGAAAAAATTTGGTTGTATTTAAATTTAAGTTGAAATTTATTATATCTATTATACCGCCATCATGAAATCTAACGAAGATTTGACTGCGATCTCACTAAGAATTTTTTTTTGGGATATGTTGCGTCCGTTGAGATCTAATTGCAGTTCCCCCCCCCCTCCGAGACTCAATTTAAGGATCAAGTTGTCAAATAATTTTATTTCTGCTTAATTTGATAACTGTACTGATTTCATTGTTGCTCTCATATTGTCATGTCTTGCTTATTACCTTCTGGTCTGTATTGAGCTCTCCTACACTTTTGATGGCTTATTTCCGAATTCCAGGTTTGATTAGTCTACTTAATTCAACATTATCCTTAAATTTCTGAATTCAAAACTTGGGATATTACAAAATCCACGACCTTTATGACTTCATTATTTTCTACTGTCTATTTGTTATTTTCTCATACTTAATTCCTTCTCAATTAGTTTGAGCGTTTAAAATTGGAATTGGCTCCCCAGGAAAGTTGGTTGCTTTTAGTATTCCAGTAAACTCTTTTGATCGACAATATCTTCCAGAAAAAGACTTTTGGGTCATAATTAATTATTTGATCAGTAATTTATTAAACATATAATATCAAAACGTTGAAACAGATTTCTTTTGAGATCTCCTCGTGGTATATATTAAGTTTAATGTAGTTTTCTTTTTAGTTGGTCTCTAACATTTGCTTCAATATCTCTTCAAACGAGGTAACCATGCTAATAAGCATTTAAGCCTGAGAATTGAAAAGAAGTTGTCTATTATACACACATATATAAGACAACCTTAATTGATACATCAATTTATTATCAAAGATTATTATAATTATCAACTCAAGGTGTAATTCAATATTTTTCTGTACAATCTCATGTTAGCATTATATTGGCAGAGACAAACATTGAATCCTTAATGTAAAAACTAATCGATTAATTTAAATAATTTAAAAAAATTAGTTAAGTTAGTTATTTATAATAAATATATATTGTCTTCTGTAAAATACCGTTGCTAATCATATGTATTAGTCACAATTACCATTTAATGATATCTTTAATATGTGTAACTACTACAAGAATTATCTAAAAAAAAAGGGGTAAATATGAGAAAAAAGTGAATTGATTATTTTATATTTAAGATCAAAATGAATGTCAAATTAGTTCTTATATTAAGAATCGAATGTAGTATTTCTAGACGTATACAAGACAGCCTAAACTTATCATGATTTCATTTGGCACTGAACTTTATAACGTTTCCATTGATCAAGAAAAAAACACTACAGTCTTATCATTTTGTTAATAGATCATAGTGTAATTAAAAAGCCGAGTGTAGCCATGAGCCATCGACCTAATAAAAATATAACGTATATACAGATACATATACAATAAAGGAAAAGAACTTGTCCAACCCTCTTCTCTAATTCTTTATTATCGTTACCAAAATTAGATCAACTGTAAACGGTTGAGTGTAAAAGAAAAACAACCATTCATTCAGAAAGAGAACATTGCCTCCTCTTCCTCCTCCTTCTTCACAAAATGTGGATTTGTATAGCACGTAGCAGAGGAGAATGTGATTCCCATCTCCCCCACAAAGCACACTGCTTTTTCTTTTCGAGTATCTTTTCATGTTACTGTCCTATTCAGAATCCATCTCTTACAAAAACATCGAAATCTTATTACTACCTTCTTCCACTAGTTTGCTGTAATAACCTTTGATTATTCCTTCCCCTTTCCTTTTTCAAAAGGAAATGTCGATAACACCCTCTAGATCATATTTGTGTGTGTCTGTGTGTGTGTTTGTGTTCGTATATGCACATTATATTTCATCATTTTTGGCAAAAAAATAAGTTCGATTCAATTATATTTAAGTCCTATTATTATCATAGAGAAACACATTATTTAGATTATTCAAATTTTAACATAGAAACTTTATGTAGACGACGTCTCACATTTAGTCCTCTCTCAAACTATTATTTTCTTGCTCCTTACGGAAAATTAATTGTTCAAAGAACCCTCGCAGTGTAATTTTAAACAAAAAGGAGATCAGATCGAGCATATATTGTAGAGATATGATATGATTTGATATGTAAATATTATGTAATTATGATTAGGATTTGATAGGATATGATATTATCATAATGGGCCATTAATGCAGAGGCTCCTCTCACTTGTATATATATGTGTATATTCTGATCAATGAAATACAAGAGAATTATTTTCCATATTATTCTATTTCCTACATGGTATCAGAGCGTGGGAATTTTCTCTCTGGGTGTTAATTTTCGGTTGCTACAGTACCGCCGCCGCACTGTTCACTCGGCGTCCGTACAGTGTCCGTACGTCTGTACTGTTCATCGACTTTCCGGCGGCGTCCGTACAGTCCGTGCGCTCTGCACTGTTCACTCGGCGTCCGTACAGTCCGTACGGTTTATTACTTTCTGGCGTTCTGTTTCGTTTCTAGCGCATCTCCGGCACGCTGTTTGTGCAATTCAGTTCTGTTTGCAGCTCCCTGTGTAGCTGTTGGCCTTTTCACTGCCTTGGTATTCATTAGGTAATCCAGGTATCGTGCTTTGTGTTCCTGTGTAACACTCTTTCGCATTCCCTTTGGTTAGTGCACTTCATCTATGGCGGAAATTAAATCTGTCTCGGAGCTTGTCCCAACTATTACTAAAATTACTGATCACAAGTTGACTTGGGTAAATTATTTGGATTGGAGTAAAACCATTCGCCTCTATCTGCGGAGCATTGAGAAGGAAGACCATCTGACTGATGATCCTCCAACAACTGATTCCAAAAAGACCTGGTTGCGGGATGATGCACGGCTATTTTTCCAGATCCGTAATTCCATTGACAGTGAGATTATTCCCTCTATTAATCACTGTGAATTGGTTAAGGAACTAATGGATTATTTAGATTTTTTGTATTCAGGAAAAGGAAATATCTCTCGTGTTTACGAGGTCTGCAAAGCTTTCTATCGTTCTGAAAAACAGGATCGTCCTCTCAAAGCCTACTTTATGGACTTTAAAAGGATGTATGAAGAACTGAATGTGTTAATGCCTCTTACTGCTGATTTGAAGGTTCAGCATAAGCAACGGGAGCAAATGGCTATTATGAGCTTTCTTACTGGTCTCCCACCTGAGTACGACACAGTTCGGTCTCAAATCTTATCCGGATCTGAAATTTCTGACCTTCAAGATGTGTTTTCCAGAGTAATGAGAGCTGAGAATCTCTTGCCACCAGCTGCTAGTATTCCTACAAGTGCCTTGCTCAGTAAGGGCACCTATGAGACTCGTAGTCCTATTGATAACCGCGGGGGGCCTACCCGTGGTGGTTCGAAGCAAGGGGGAGCCCCTTCTGACTCCAGTGGGGTAGTGTGTTATTACTGCAAAGAACCGGGGCATACAAAACGCACATGTCGAAAACTTCAGAATAAACAGCAACGGAATAACTCTGCCCACGTGGCTACACAAGCCAGTGACACAGTCACGATTTCTGCTGCTGAGTATGCCCAGTTAAAATCTACTACACCGTCTGTGAGTGCCGCAGCTACAACAGGTAATAATGCTACTGCCCTTGCTTCTTCTTCCTCAAAGTGGATCATAGATTCCGGGGCTACTGATCATATGACAGGTAACAGCCATCTCTTCTCCTCTTATAATGCTTTTGCCAATCCGTCAAGTGTTTCCATCGCTGATGGTTCCCAGTCTCAAGTTCTCGGTTCTGGCACTGTTAATCCCACACCCTCTATCCGTTTGTCATCTGTGCTAAATGTTCCTAAACTTGCTTTTAATCTCCTATCTCCCAGTAAACTCACCCGTCAACTAAACTGTTGGGTCTCACTTTTT